AGGAGGCGCATTGCAGCTGGAGCAGAAGATTGAAGACTCAACAAAGGCGAAGAGTTGCAGTGTTCACAAAGGCTTCGACGAAGACGTCGAAGGAATAAGTGGGAGAGAATGTCACGTACAAACTTCTAAACAAGATGTTCGATGTAATGCTTATATATGTCCGTGTCGTTTGGCATGTTCATGCCTTGTACAACATGTAAAGGGGCGGCCGAAGGCTTAATAGTCCCATTTGAGTTAGGTTGGTGGCCTCTTTAGGCTTGTAAATAAAGGTTGTGTCATGTGGACACGTGCGAGAGATTCTCGGTCTGTAATGGACCATTTTACCCCTTTATTGTGCAACTGTTCTGAGCTTGTAAAGTCTGTTTGTAATTTGCATTGGTTATGAAGTGTTTCCTAGAATGTTTGCTTGTGGATCCCGAGTGACGCGCTTTCTCTAACCCGTTTTCTCTTTTGTAGGTCCTAAGGGACCGTGGGAGGTTTCGGGGAGGTTGACCTTTGCGGCCGGACACGCAAAGGTGCCGCACGACTTAGGCAAAATCAGCTAAGTCCGTGACACTACGTTAATAAAGGACAGAGGCAGAATTAAGTTATGAATTGTGCATTGGATCAGCAATAAATAGTGAGTTGAGTAATGGATCAAGCAAGGACGAATGAGCCAGCTGTTGCACCAGTCGTTCTTAAAGTTAAGTTGGTAAGGAGTAAAAAGAGAGAGATGTTATAAGATAGTTATATTTGAAATAAGCTTGACGCAACTGAACAGAACAAGAAAATGCAATGGGAAGAAAGTATAGTTAAAATCTAAAGTCTCTTAGATAGTTGAGTAGCCTATGGTTAAGGTAGAAAGAAGGGAGTTTCGCTTAGATTCAATGATTTCTTTCAAGTTTGTCCTTTGACCTTAGTTTCAGAGTGGAGTAAGGTGTTGTTACTTTCCTCTATTATATTAGGTGCATACTCTGTGATTACTTTACTGGCCCTACTGTGCCTATCTGAGTTAGTAACGCTGCTAGTACTAAGAAAAAAAGCTATGAGTCAGCAGAACAAGCAAATAAAAAAACTGCTAGTACTTAAAAAGAAGCAATGAGTCCGCAGAACAAGCAAGGCAGCTTGGCTAGTTCCCTAAAGAAGCAATGAATCCGTAGAACAAGCAAGGGAAATATATCGAACTTCTATAAGTCTATAAGCAACAGAGAACTGTGCCGACATTCAAACAAGCAACATATTACTTCTGTCTATAAGCAACGGCGATTGGGTGCCTCTGTTCTTTTGCCGACATTCAAACAAGCAAAGGTGTTCCTCTCACAAGCAGTAATATGTTTTAGAGATCAGAGCCTACAGTCATGACTGTTTTGTCACTCTAACTTTATATTATATGCTACTTATTTCTTTCATCTTAAAGCTACAGGTGCAAAGGAGGGAAAGGTTTAGCTGGGCCCTAAGGACAGACGGAAAAGAAAAAGAATAGGAACAAGTAAGGGAACAAGCGAGTTCTTCGCCGTTGTGCTAACGGAGTTGAGTTCTGTATGCTAACGTGTAATTGTTTAGGGCATAGCCTAAGAAGAAAGAAATTAAGCAAGCAACAAGGGATACCTTATGGAGGTAGCTTGGTGCATAATGGGAAGTGTCAGAGCTTAAAGTATTCCAGGTTCGTAAATGATTGGCTTAGGGAGTGTGATACCATTTAGCCTAGGAGTCTCCAATTTGTTACTGGTAAGATCTTATATCGTTAAGAATTGATTCATAGATAGTTATTATATTTTAAGTAATTATAGTCATGTTCTACCTAATTGGTCCATGATTTAAAAGTTACGAGGATAGTTCCTATGCCTAATTTGATCATTGGTGACATAATGGGAGTAAGGTAATTATTACTATGTCTTATAAAAAGGATCATAGTTCATGAAATAAGGTAGTATGCATTTAGAAATATCTTGTAAATATTCTTAATCTTATCTCTTATTTAATACTACTTTAATTTTTTTGATTGAAAGTATTCTCTTTAACTGCATCATAGTATTATGTTTTTATTTCCTTGCTCCTCCGTCCTTAACATATATGATATTTGAGTTAAGTTTCAATCTGAATTGAGCATTATGACTTTCAATAATAATTTATATCCTTTCATAAGATCACTTAGATTGATGATTCAGACAGATTGAGAGAAAAACTATAATCTCTCAACTGCGTCCTCTATGACATGCATCATTAAGTCCCTAGCAGTCCTATCTATTTATAAGCGAAAGTAGAGAATCTATGATAAATTATTAAGAGAATTCCTCCCATCAAAGGCATCCAGTAAATAAATCTAATATAATATGAACTTATTTTCTATTAATCATTATTGATCATCAAAATCTAATTGATTTTATTATATATCTTATCTAATTATAAAGGGTCACATAATCTAACAAATTCATCTCGAGAACGAAGTTAAGGGTTGTTGTAACCCAACACCACAATAACCAAAGAGAGTGGCTTTTGAATTCATTATTGGCCTGGTAGACGATTGTTAGAACCATTGCAGATTCTAAACTTATGGTTGATCTTTTTAGGGGATCGGCCTCCTTAGAACTCTATAGGAGTTCCTCCCTCCAAGTTGCTACTCAAAGGCCGTAGAAAAAATTCATATATTGCTTAACAAAAGAGGATGAATACATGACTATTTATAGAGCTTCTAAACCCTAACTCCTAATAGGACTTCTACTTAAGACTGCTACTTCTAACTAACTCCTAATATGACTCCTACTCAAGACTCCTATTCCTTTACAACTCCTAATTCTTCTTTAAGAAACAACCTCCTAACCCTAGTCGGCCTCTTCGTCTCTTTAATAGGGGTCAGCTTAGGTAGGTTTTACATGAATTCCCCTCTCTATTAGGACTCTCCTAGCTAGAGTCTTAACAACGATAAAGGAGATAGTGTGTGTAAGGCTTCCAATCCGATAGAAATTTAGGAATAGTATAATGTCATTTCTTATAAGAATAAGTGATCAAAGCTAGAATAAATAGATTCCGTAATTATTATATAATCTAATTCATAATAAATCAGCGCATACAACATTCAATAGATTTAAGCACTTTAAAAGAATTCACAATATTTCAATCCAAATAATCCCTTTATCTAGAGAGGCCAACTGCCCACCCTCCTACAAGTGGATGGGTCCAACTAGGCCCAAACCCAATGGTACTATTGACACCTATTCAATAACCCCAAGCTCTCCCTTTAAGAATGTTGAATCTCGAATTTTGATGATGAAACCAAATGATAGTGTTTATGATCTGTTCTGCATTTTGAGTGACGTTGGAAGCTTCGATCAGGAAGAGATAATTAAAGCAAAAAGAATCATATTGGGCCGAAGTGGAACATGTTAGAAGATTGGATGTTGAGCCGGAGGATCGGTCGATATATCAACAAAAGGCTTCGGGCCCTAGGTTCGGGCATTGGGCCAAGAAGAGCGAAAATTACGTCAAGGAAATCGGAGTTACAGAGGTCAACTAGTCGATTGGGCAATAGGTCGTAAGAGATGATGATGCGCCGAAGAATCGGATAAGGCGTCGATGAACCAATGACATGCCGGATAACATTTGGTTTAGCTTTGTAATAATTGTGTAGATCGAAATAGGTTTTATATGTATTGAGTTAGAATTAGGCCAAGTCAATTAGGGGCCAATTGGGTCAAGTTTGGGTTGTGTTGGGCCATGTAAAAGGCCCAAACAATGACCCAACAGGTGGAATCGTCGATGGCACAGTATTCGAGACTATGTCAGGTGGTGGTACCTCCAGACTAGGCAATGTTATCGCCCAGTGATAGGGTGTCAAGCGGTGGTATTGCATAGTATTAGTGCTGTCGGCAATAATACCACCTAGCACTGGCGATGGTACCGCCAGTACCCAGAAGACCCGAGAAAAGACTAGTTTTGGCTCCAAATTTGAATCCATTTGGAGCCTATAAATATCCCTCTCATCCCTGGTTAACAAATACAAGTACAGAGAACTTAAAAGTGGGAAAACGCTGTCGCATTCACTTAGAGAAATCTCCTCCTCTAGTTCTAAAGTTTAGAATTCAGTTTTAGGAGGAGTGAGTGCTTGTAAAAGGTTATCTCCTAAACCTTTGAAAAGGAGAAGAGAGGTGTAAAAGGGTAGTTGATCTTCACGCTTGAAAGAAGATAAGTAATGGAAGCTAATGGCCTCAAGTGAAGAGGAATCAGAAGTGGATGTAGGTAACGACGATCGAACCACTATAAAAATCTGATTTACATTTTTATTTTATTCTTTACATATTTACTTTCACCACTATAAAAGGCTTACAAGTGTTCCAAAGGGTAACTAAGAGCAGTCAAATCATATTAATTTCTGGTTTTGAATGAACGAATATATATATATATATATATATATATATATATATATATATATATATATATATATATATATATCCCGAATACGTTTACATGAGAAGGAAAAATATTAATGCATCAAACGAGGTCATGGAATGCATTCCATGCCATGTACTGAGAAAGAAGGTGATCATCTGTCGGTACGAGAACGAA